AAAGTGATTTAGAACCAAGTACCCAATAAGTAATTGGCGTTGCGGAATCTTATAAACAGGAATTTGCTACTGTCATCGCGTTGTTTAGCACAGTCGTTATAGTCATTTCAGGTACCATTTTGATTTTTATGACCCATTGTTCTACATTACTAAGGATAGGGGACTTACGTTTAACTGCCTGAAAGGCCTCAAGATCGTTTCCAATTTTTTTCTTAGGCGTTACGTAACTTTGGTATTTGAAGGTATCATATATATCATCCGGCACAATAAAATATAAAAAAATTTTTGCATTCGGATTCTTCCTATATGCCAGCATATTTTGAACTATGTTGATCAGTTCACTCTGCTTTACGGGGTGTTTTGGAAACACAGTAATTTGAAAGATACAGTTCGGTGTAAGAATTAGATCTACCGCACTGAAATTTCTTATGGTTGGTTTGATAATTATGTCTTCCTCGTTATACCCTGTGAGCTGGCTTGCATATCGAATATACTTCGTAGTTGGTTTTGTTGCAATAGTTAATTTATCGTAAATGATTGGATCATTCTAATAATAAAAAAGGTTATGATTAATCTTTTCTCAATTATTATCGAAAATGATTATGCAAGATTTTACCTCGTTTTCTCTAAGTCTCCTTGATTCAAACTTTTGACCACCGAGCTTGAAAAGGTGGAGTACGTGTGACTCAAACATAATCCCTCTAGAGCTGAAAGGGTCATCAGGATCTTGAATTTTTAAAAATAGATTACTCCATCTACTATCCTCTAGTTTTTTCTGGATTTTATCAAAAATACAACCAGAGGCCCATGAGAGGGATTGTTCTCGGTAGAAAGTGTCTGGCCACCGATGAATAAAGCGACTGCTGAATTCAACATATTGTGTATTTTCGGAGAAGCACCGTATAAGCTTTCTGAAATCGCTAATTTCCGAAAGGGCTTCTTCAACACGTTCTAAAGACCTTTTCTTAATCGTATCCAGATTATTGAGAGTAGGTGGTTGATCCTTGATATTAAGATTTTCCTGACGAATAATAGATGCTGGCATCTGAAGAACGTACCTTGGCACACCACCCACTTCGTCACTAAGGTCAAGCATCAAATCTCGTGGTATCATCGGGAAGACACTTAATCGGCAGGCTTCCAACTCTTCTATTGACCATGGTGGCATGCAAAATTTATCTACAAGATTCTTTATAAACTCTTGAAATCCTCTGCCTTTGATACTTCTCGACGATGCAGAAATAACTATTTTTGCTATAACGAATTTGGGAGCTGTACCGTCCACCAAGTACCATGTTTTAGGATTGTAAAGTTTCTCCAAAAATTCGTCAAAATATCCAATGCTGAGGTTAGAACCCTCAAAACAGTATAGAAGGTCTTCGTCAGCTGGCTTAAAAATAACTGTGGCATCGGTTTTATTGCACAAGAGCCGGATTAATAAATAAATCAAGAAACACG